GTGCAGGATCAGGTCACCCCGTCTGCATTTGGTCAGCAGCAGTTCACTGGTACCGGGGCTTTAATGCCACAGCGTCCTTTAACACAGAGAAAACGAATAAAACAAATGAACAAGAAAATGTGTCAAAATCAAACTTTGGTTATAAAAAAAAAACAAAAAAAAACAGAAAGGAAGGAGAAAGAAGAGAGATGAAAGAAAGGCGCCCAAAACCGTGACCAGGTTTTCAAGAAAGGTTTGTTACCTCAATAGTTGAAAATAAGGATAGATTATTAACCTGTTATAATAATCTATGCCTATTATTAAGCTGTTGGGCTGCTCAGTGGTGCAGCAGTAGCACTGCTGCCTTGCAGCAAGAAGGTTCTCAGTTCGATTCCTGGTCCGGGGTCTTTCTGCATGGAGTTTGCATGTTCTCCATGGGTTCTCTCCGGGTACTCCGTCTTCCTCCCACAGTCCAAAAACATGACTGTTAGCTTAACTGGCTTCTCTAAATTCTCCATAGATGTGCGTGAATGGTTGTTTGTCTCTGTGTTGCCCTGCAATGGACTGGCGACCTGTCCAGGGTGTACCCCGCCTCTCGTCCGTAGACATCTGGAGAAAGACACCAGCACCCCTCGTGACCCCAGTAGGGAAAGGCGTGACAGAAAATGGAATGGGTGGATATTAACCTGGCTATCTGCTGGTTGCTACTACTTATTTAATCCTCCTCAAGGTCGGAGGGGATTCACATCATTAAATCAGTTTAATAATTTTATAAGAGACATTCCTAACATACACCCGAGCACCACTTTATACCTCAAATTATGCATTTGTTTATTGCAAAGACTCAAGGAGTCTTAGAGATTATGCCTTACAGTAAAATAATGGCTGTAAACTTTTGCTGCAGATTGGTCGGTTGGACTTCTCTCGTGATCAGGATAAGATTACAGTGACATGTCATAGTGACTTTGTGACATGGTTTGTTATCTTCCTGGAAGCAGCCATCAGGAGTTGCTCAGGAAGGCTGTGCCTTTTAATCCTAAAAGGCCCAAAGTATGTCAGGAAAACCTCTCCCACATATTCAGAGCTCCACCATCAGCCTGATCTGTCCCTTCAGGTTGTTTGTTTCCAATCTGTCTGTTTTAGACAGATTGGAAATCCTCAACCTAACACTTTGTTTCAGTCTGTTATGGTTCAATCAGGCCAGTCTGTTGGAGCTGTTCAACAGTTTGCTGTTGCCAAAAGAAGTGTTTGATGCTGTAGCACATTCACTTCTAAGGGGAGATGATATTTCAAACACCTTGACGGTATTCATTGATTATTTTTAACTACTGCTTTGTAATACTAAACCAGACTGCACTCTCTTCTCTGACATTTGTTTTCTCTCGCCTGGTAGCAATCTCTATACATATTCAATGCAGTTTTAAAATGTGAATTCATAGATTTAAATCTAACTGGGGACATGTTGTAAAAACCACACAAGATGGTGCAAATGAGCTATTTAAAATAGAAGTATTATACAGAAGTGAGTTTCAAGTCCGGAGAAGGATTAAATCTAATTTAGGATTAATCCAGTAGCATTTATTTTGATTAAGTTTTCAATGTGATTTGCTTAGTCACTTGATTATGATTACTTTCATCACATTTGATCAATAAAGCAGGAGGTCTGCTCCTTCTAGAGTGTTTTAAATCCTGCAACGGGTTTAAATGTAAATATTCTATAAATGTTTCGTTCCTTCTATTAAAATCACCACAGCTTTGCAGACAGACTGTATAAACTGGGGTAGCTGGGAGTTGAACCCGGGTCCCCTGAATCAAAGACAAGAATGAATGCGTCTCCTCCTCTAGTTGCTTAGTTTATGCCTTCTGAGCCTGAATCAGCAAAATTCATTTTATAGAAATCTGTTTAGGATTTACTGATTACCACTTAATTATATTGACATCAAATTGAAAGGTTAGTTTCACAATAGAAGATCTTTAGCCTTTTTAGAATTTCAGAACTGATTTATTCACCGCCCTTCCCCAACATTTAAAAATATTTACCAAACATAAGCAGACAAGACTGTTTCCTTGCAGGACCTCTGTACATTCTGTACCATGATACCATAAATAAAAATCTATAAATCTATAAGTTTACATAAAAAAAAAAAATTATCCATCTTCAAGAACCATTAAAGACAACAAAAATAATCAGTATACAGTTTTTACAAAGAGTTATTCAGCTTTATACTCTTTATCCTTTACAGCCCAGTGAAAAATCTTTACAGATAGCCCAAAAAATTTATTTTAATTTGCAGAGTAGGATCATTTAAATGAAGAGAATTCAATGCAATATTTTTACATCTCAGCAAATTGCAATCAAGACCTTCATCCTGTGATGAAGCAACTTTAAAAACAAAACAAAAAAAAAACATGAAGAAAATGAAACGATCAGAAGTCTTCCATCATAACATTTGGGGTCCAATTGCACATTTAAAGTGCTATAATTAAAAATCCCTGTTTTGTTCAATAAGGCTTGTTTAAATGGGTAGAAATGTTAAACACGGCCTCATAAAATGCCCTTGCATTGTCCACGCTGTCTGAAATCTCAATTTACTCTTTAATCCATATAATTAAGAATCACAGAGCTAAGAACTGATTCTGAATAAGTGAAATAACCCCAAGTCTGGAGTTCATATAATGTGTGTTTTTTATAAGTTTGTAGAAATAAAGGTATTTTTCAATGAAGCCAAACTGAGGATTACCAGCTTTATTTCATGACAGAAGTGAATACGGAATTATTTGTTGGTTCTGTTTGAACTTTAGACAGTGATTATAGGCAGGTCATTTCAAATTAAGGATAAAAGAGCCAATTTGATTAAAGTATTAATTGATTCTCAATGCTTTTAATTGTATATTGTAAGACTATTCTTTAATTTTTACAGAACTGGGATTTCATGAATCCTATAATCACCATTGAAGGACTGCCTAAAGTTTTAAACTCTCAAATCAATAGAAAACAGCTATTATTCTTATCATGGCCTTCATATGTTTTTACTACAGTATGAACTAGAAAACCCATGAATTCTTGGTAAAATAACCAAATAGCTGCTTCTTTCTAGAACAGACTTATAAATGCACCGTTCCATGGTTTTTAACCAGCCCGAAGCTTTGAAACGAAAACAAAAATTGGTGGGATAAAAAGCGACAGGAACATTCAAAGATCAGAAATCAAACCGTTAGCTTCAGTGAAAGTCAAACATAATAGAGACTAAGCATCCTGGGGAAGACTGCTGCTGACAGCCTTCTGATAGTTATGATTTATTCAGATACACCTTTACAGATTCATTTCATAAAGTAAAAGTATTTTGTTTATTGCACGCCAAGTCATTCAGGAGATGTTTTCATCAATGCTACCTGCACAGAGCCCAACAGTCAGCTCTCTTTACATTCTGTTATTCCTAGATGTGCAAACTTGATGCTGATAGCAGAGCAGCTTTAGTGAAGTGCCTGATACAAGAGGATAAATCAAATTGTTGGGAAATTCCAATAACGCATATATATATATATATATATATATATATATATATATGAACATTTTGTTTATTTGTATAACTAAAACAAATCTCCAAAGCTTGCAGAAAACTTCCTCTGTGATCCATTGACTTGCTCCATTATTACATCGGGACAACAGGTCCTAAACTCCCTGCCGAACAGAACATATCTGAGAGGTCACTGACCTTTGGTTTTGGTCTCACTCTTCGCTTATAGCTGTAAATATTCTGTATTCTCAAAGATCCCCTTTTGAGAAGCAGGTTTGTTTATTTTTAAAAGTAGCTTAAACTCTTCTGGTTGTGGGAATATTTACAGGAGTCAATTTTTGCCTAGAAGAAATGAAACAAACTAAACTACCTTACTTAAGGTATTTCCCTTCATCAGGCACTTTTAGGAATGACCTCTGATGTTGGAGGCATAAGATTTGCTTCCCGCACTCAAACGAGGTCTGCATCTTGCTCCAAAACATCTTTGTTAAAGATGCGACAGATATGCTTTCCACTAAATGCTCAGACTTCACATTAATGATAAAATACTTTTGAACAATTCTTAAACATAGAGGAGGACAGATCCTAAAGGTGTGCTCGTACACAACTTGTATTCAAAAGATGGAGAACTTAAAGTAAACCGCAAAAACACGTCCTGAGGGAACAGAAACTAAAACATCCGTTTTTAAGTTACAAATTGACTGGAATTCAGGACACAATTCCAGTCAGCTGATTTAGCAGGAATTGGGGAGACAGAAGAGAAAATAATCCACTTTAAAACCAGCAACCCAAAACCTGTTTTAAGCTCAAACACCCTAAATGTTCATGTATTTTTAGAGAAACTTGCTCCAAATTGCTGTGATCACTAACCAGGACGGTCCTGGATTATGCATGGATTATTTCAGAACTTCAATGAGGCTCATCTTACATCATAATCAAAGTCTGATCTCCTGCTGAGTCGACTGCATTGATGAGAATCTAAAACGTAAACAGGTTCATTTTTTTAAGCTTTATTCTCGGATTCTCCCAATAAAACTATTGGGTCAGATAAAAAAAAAAAAAAAAAAAAAAAAGATGCCCATAAACCTAAAAAGTAGACCAATAATATGGTGTTGGTTTGTTACAAATGCAACATGGTGGACTTTGGATCCCGACACAACAATCAATCAGCCAGGGGGTCAGTTTGGTCCTGGATCCGATCTGCAGTCCAAATACTGACCAATTGGATTTTCTGTCGTTACACATGAAAATGCATCAAAACTAAGCGGTCTCGCCTCTTTCAGCCCATAAACTCATCACCCAGCAGCAGATATTGTTGTGGTATACTTTTTGAATTTAACAAAAAACAGAGGTGAGACACATTATGCTTTGATGTATATGTTAGGATAATCTCCTAAATTCCTCTCTTTCCATTTAAGTGCAAAGCAAAATCATAGATCTAGACTTGAGAATTTCTCAAAGTGGAATTAGTAGGTGATTGTATCGGCCAGGGAAAGCCTTACTGGTGGAAGAAATATTCACCATTTCAACCCTAAACTACTGTTGAACGTTTCTGTGTCTGTATAGTGTGGCTCAACCGCCCCTCAAAATGTCTGAAGTGGCAGATTATGTTTGCGACAGTTATTAACATCATAATAAATAAAATAAAAAAATCAGCAGGGAGGCTGTAAAAACAAAAACAATGTGTAGACATGGAGGGACGTAGGAGGGCAAACATCTCTGGCACGCCACAGGTGGCTCGTCACATCTGGATTATCCTCCACAAACAGCACTTGCCTTCAGTGTCATTCTGGAGCAGGTTTAAAGAAAAAAGAAAAAAACTCTGCTGGTGTCACCACGATGAGAACCACGCCCTCCATTAAACCACAAATTGGTGGTTGCCGCTGTGGTTTGCCGTGTAGGCCTGTCCGCTGTACTGGAAGTGATCAGTCAGCACGGGATTCCAGCTGTGCTGCTGTTCTGAGCCGTAGGAGTACGGCCCGGATCCGTTTGCCTGGGTCCTCTCTAGCATCGGGTTGTCAAAAGACAGCAGGTCCTGCGTGCTGGTTGGCAGCTTCTTCTTCTGCTTGTTGGCGTCATATTTAGCCTGATGAGGAGGATGAGATAGGAAGGTTTGAGTAAAGCCATCAGTGGTAAACAGATAAACAGATAAAAAAAAATAAAGTCTACAGAAAATTAGGCAAAATGAGACATGTTTAGACATGTTGAGGATATGATCCAACCGCATTTAAAATTTTATTGACATCTTTATTTTAGGGTTGAATTGACTTACCTTGTTGTAGAGGAAGACCCCAAGAATAGCTGTCATCATACCCAGGACATTGGTGAGGGTGACTGGGTTGCGCAACATGAACAGAGATATACTGATGACCATGATCCTCTTGGTAGCGTTGGCGACTGCATAGCTGAGAGGGCTGACGAGGTTCAGGATACTAAAAGCAATGACGTTCTGTGCAAAATTACAGAAGCCGCTGATGAGGAGGAGGAAAAAGGTGCCTGCCCATCCTGAAATCTCCGACTGAAATGGAGGCAGATGTGTTCGACTCAGTTCACAGTCAAAACCGCTTTAAGTTCATGATTACCTGCAAGTAGTGCAACTACAAATCTAACATTGGTACCCACCAGATCCCCACTGACAAGAAACACAGAGAAGTCCACCAGAACCCAGGTGGGCAGCATGAAGAACATGGCGTTAAAGCCCAGGATGTTCAGAAGCCTCAGGTGATGCACGCCTGTGTCACGCAGCACCTTTAACAGAGAGGAGGGGAAATTACTTTAAAACAAGACAAACAGGACTGATTACAATACTAAACGTGTTCCTGTTAAATACAGTTTCAAAAAAAAAGTCACAATCTTCTCACTCATTTGGAGGAAAGTCATGATCATGAGGTGACTTACCTTTTTGGAGAAGATGTTCTGCAGAGAGAAGCAGAGTGTTGCAGCGAGAGCGCTGATCAACCCTGACACATCAAAGGAGAGCTCGGTCATGGTGGCCAGCAGAACCCCACCGATGATCGGGATGAGCGACACATACACCTACAAAACAGGATCAGGAAATAAAGACCACTTCCCGCACTGACTCATGGCGCATTTCCCACTGCAGGTTCTCCATTTTCAGCAGACTGATCTCTAAACTACTGCAGTAGTTTATGATTAAAAAATAACGCTTCTGATAATGAAGTTTTAGCTATTGTTTTCAGTTAGATAGCCTTTAAAATAGAAAAATGCTACTTTCACTGATCTAGACCATAGAAAATATGTATCTGCAAATAAAGTAATACTTGATTTGGATTTAGAAAAACTGTATGGAGAGTGAAAATACACAAAAAAAAATAGGAAAATTAATGTCGTATGTATGTATATACAAATATATACATCCACAGGGGACTGCGGCTCACTGGCTTAAAGTATCGTTATAAATCTGAGATTCATTTGCATGCTTCTTAGAATAGGTTTTGAAATACATGACTCACACTGCTAAACTAAACTCTCTTTGAGACTAAGAAAAACGCCGTTCTAAGAAACCCAAATCCCCAAAACATAGAAGATAAAACACTAACGTCTAAGGAGGGATCTAAAGTGACTGATGCAGAGCAGAATTTTAAGTCACCAAATCATGCTGAGTGACTGAAAAGGCAAAGACTAACATGGCTGGTTGGGTTCTTCATGTAATCCTGTTTATTAGATTAAATCTGTAAATGTTTGGACCAACTATTGGAAACTTCAAATCCTAAAGGCTCATTTTACAGTTGATGTACCCGTTCTGTCTCAGAACTGAATTGCGAAGTAAATATAACACGCTGGTGCCAGACACACAAGTCTGTCTAACGTTTAGCCAGCAGGACTGTTCCTTCATCAAAACCCAGGAAGACCTCAGAGGTTCTAAATAAGTAAATGTCTGTCGCCACGAGCAATATCAAATCTTCAACATTAAAAAGCTAACAAAGTTTAAGCCAGACCTCTTTAATAGGACATAACCAAAGACAGAGAGTGTAGTTATAATATGAACAAAAAAACATTGCTATGCTAGTGGCTCACGTTCTTATCCCCAAAAACTATAAAATATTCCCTCATTCACCAATGTTGATGTTCTTTAGAAAACGCTCCTTAATTTAGCGTAATCTTTTCTTGGTGAAATATGGAAGCCTAAACTTTGTTTCAGGAAGTCTGACTTTTTAGCCTGACAGGCTGCACTGATTTGCGTCATAAATCAGTCTATAAAAAAGCTGGTAGAGCCTGATTTAAAAGGCAGTTAACGTACAGGAGAAAGATGTGATGCAAAAAATTCTCTTTGAAAAAGACAAATAATAATAATAATAATAATAATAACTAACAGCAGACAGTTGTTCATATCTTAAAGACATATCTAGCTCCTGTGGCAAATAATAAATAATATAATTTAAACGTCACTGCAGCCAGAATCTTGACTGATTACAGAGAAACGCTGTAATGGGCAATTCTGATGAAAGTGGAAACTCCCACCGCTCGCCCTGTGCTTGTTTCCTTTGCTAAACCCTTCTAAATCCAAGTTTAATCGAAGAGGCAGACATTAAAAAAAGGGGGTCTGATTATGTTGAAAGTTTTTATTGTTGTAAACACTCCAAACTCTAGATTTAGTATACGCTGTCAGAGGAACAGAACATCTACACCAGTGTTACTTCACGGATCACCACTTTTCACCAGACAAGGACTCCCACAGACACTTTATGTCTTTTTGTTGTGTCGTGTCAGAAAAATAAGTACACAAAGAAATTATCATCCCACACCAAAACAACCTCTCTTAATGAAAAAAGACAGGAACCCCACGACCGTTTAGCTGGTCTCTAGTCCACAGTGCTGCACAGAAATCGCTCATCTTCCTCCTTTTTAAGGAGAGGGATGACATTTGAAAAATCTAAACATTTTTTGTAGGCCATATATTCTTTAGTGAAGAGCACTTAAACTAAACGTAAGCTAAAGTCTGTAGGAGCCAGAGGGCCTTTAATATGGAAGGAATCAGTTTCCTACGACTTTGTTAAAGGAATAAGGAAAACACTTAGTAAAAAACTCACATACTGCTTCAACATTGGGCTAAAGAACACCATCAAAATGAAAAAGTCCTCCTGAATCTGAAAAGGCAGTCAGTGAATTAAGGTTTGATTGTGATGAACAAAGGGTGAATGAAGATATTGCATTTATAATGACTTCTCTCTGTGAATTTGCTGATTCATTCAGGGTACTCCGCTTTCTCACACAGTCTAAGATAAACTCTCAACCCACTAAGGTGTGTGTTTGTGGGGGTAGTATGGTTGGTTTTCTCATGCATCTCTGTGATGGACTGAAGACCTGACCAGGCTCTTTATCATATCTCACCCAGTGACTGCTAGGGACATATGCCAGAATGCCCCCCCCAAAAAAAAACAAGAAAAACAGAGTCCACTATAAAACAAACCAGATTGCAGAGTTTACTAGTTATCAGTTCAAAGGAACTACTTTAAAAGGAAAGGATGTCATCAAGAAACCCCCAAACTTCCTGGGTTTAAGCCAGCGTGGAGGATGCTCCACAGACCCCACTGATTATAATATCAGCTCTCTCTTTGACTACAGAGATTCCTCCACATCTACACGATTTCTGTTAATATTATGAACCATAATTGATGAGGCCAGTCTGCTATTAATGAACTACTGGTTCATTTAATCCAATTTGTTCAGTCTTTACATGTGTTCATTATTCCCTCATAGAATCAGTCTATGTAAAACATCCTACATGGCAGTCATAGATTGATCAGTGGAATGCAGGAGGTGATGTGGCTGAAAAGTCTTTGCTCGCTGACCCCTGACCCTCTACAGAGTGCAAGCGACGGAAACTTTGGTGGGCGGCTGTAACATGAGATGCAGCAGAAGCACAGCAGGCCAACTGCGCCACATCACCACTGCTCAGCCTCAGTCTGAAACAGAGCGGGATCTGTGCTTGAAATGCTCTGAACCGACTCACCCTTGTAGTTTGCTTCTCCCTCATTATAATTCTTGATAACAGCACCACCCATATTGGCATTGTGGCTTTTACTGCGAAAGAGACAGAAGAAAGGGAGCGTGTCAGTTTTAAAACAACAAGATCCGTGATGATACCTAGTAGACACAGAGAACCATTTAAAGGGCTATAATATGTTAATGGAGGTCAGAACTGGGTCCACGCCTCTGTCAAATAATACACGCCGTCATTCAGGCATTTACATGTCTAAACAGTGGTGCGTCATTTCTACGCAGAGTGATTTATAAATGAATCAGCTGCATCCTAAGCAATGCTGAAGAACTAGCTTTACGACATTTGATAATTATTACAACAAGTTTAAAGGACTTTATGTACAAAGAAACTCAAATGCAGCATTTTATATCGACCAGCCAAAACAGAAAAATACAGTCAATGGAAATTATAAATGCAGAAATTATTTAGCCAGAAGTAATAAAAAAATTTAAATAAAAAACACTGATGAGTGTTTTCCTTATACCTTAGTCAAATACACCATGCGTCTCAGTCAAGAACACATGCTTTCACGCATCATCAGTGATAATCTTGTGTAATCTCATTTTTAAATGAAACACTACTTACTTAAAGAATCTGCATTTTTTAAAAGAATGAACGTATTTATTTACTTCATCATTTGGAGATAGGTGAGCTCCAAATGGTGAAGATTAAATTGACCTACAACCACCAAGGAATCATGGAAGGATTAAAAGTGGGAGACTATCTAATGACTTGTATTCATCCTCCAAAAATAAAAATAAAATGATACTCACAAACACACCTTTGTTTTCATGACATATGGGGACATTTAATTGATTTTCATTCATTTTATATGGCCTAACCCTAAACTAAACTGAATTTACACGTATAATCCTAAACCTAACCCCATCCCAAAAGAAAAGAACTCTACCATATGAGGATCAGCTGAATGTCCCCATATGTACCTGCAAGTCCCTGAATGTAGGAATTTTTATTTAAAAACTTCCTCCACGTTGTAGGTAAAAGAAGACTACACACACAACTTTAGAGATGAAGCATCTCTAAAAGCACTACTTTGAGGTCTTAATATACACGTGGAACTGTGTCAGTATTGCTTTTTTTTTTTCACCGCCGTTTAAAGAAGTTGTAGTTTTGCTTCCTAAAAATGCATCTTAAAGCAGGATCATTGGTAAGTGATTTATTGCTTGGAAAACTTAAACAGAGTTGTGCTTTGAATGTTTAACCATGTGTTTCAGGAGCTGTTCCAGTATCACTGTGGGAAACATCCATATGACAAAGGAGAAAGGTGGACTTTCTCCCAGCTGTCACTCTACTAGAATATTTCTATAAATCAGTCAGATGGACACTACCAAAACACTAATGGCCTCAGTAAATTAGAATATAAAAAGGGTTATAGCAGCAGCTAATTGTAATATCTGAAATTCAATATTTGGCTGTTTTTAAGAGAGTGCTATTATTTTCAAAATAATTTCTGTCCGTTTTTAACACTATAGCTTGGAGCAAATACAACTACGGACTCAGTTTCTTAGAAACACATCAGTTACAGAGGAGCAAATATGCAACAACATAGATAAAAGAAAATAAAAAAAATCACTAGAAAGAGTTCTGACATTATAGCCATCAATGGGGGACAAATTTAGGTTCATTGCCATAAATACAACAGAGGCTATATTACAGCAAAAAGAGCAGAATAAACTGATTAGACACATTCCTTGAAAATATCAAAACATCAATGTTAAAAAAAAAACTGCTGTGCTTTACCCAACTAAATAAGTGAAAAATGTATGCTGAGAGAAAAAAGAAGCAGAAGAACCAACAGCAACAACTATGTCCACAGTATGTGTTGTGCCACTCCTCAACCTAAGGTCCGAAGGACCCCGTCCACGTAGGCACGGTCCTTCGGAGGTTGTGAAAATTAGGAGGCCAGAAAAGTTCAGCTGTAGATTGGAACAGGTACGGCCTTCCACAGCTGTCAACGCCCCTCAATCGGTGTATGCACCGTCGCCTAGCAACCGTGTTGACCCACAAAGCAGGCAAAGAAAGGATGCGAAACTACTTACTACAGTTCTGTGTGCAAATTACATTTCTGAGGAGCTTCAGCAGGAGTACCTTCATTGCAGGTATTAGATTTATAGTACACAGAAAAGAGAGGTTCTAAATGAGGATGGCTGACATGAAAGAGTGTTTAAAAAATGAGTGCTGTTTATAATAGAGTATCAAAAGGCTTTTATCCACCGCTCTGAATAATTATCACAGCAAGTATTAGGAATTCAAACTTAGGAAGACAAGCATTTTTGTTTAAAAATATATATTTAATGGGTGTAAAATAAAATTTTTGAGAAAGCAACTTTCTGGTCTTCCCTAGGAAAGTAGCAGCCAAGTGGTTAGGGTAAATAGCTTGGAATCCTGATGCACTGGGTCTCTGAGCAAAGACCCTTAACCCCCACACAATGACAGCCCACTGCTACCCAAGGGGGTGCGCTAAATGCAGAATGAATTTCGTTGCTCTGTACTTGAGACGGTGTTATAAAAATAAAAAAGCTGGGAAAGTTATAACCAATGTATTTCGCAGAAATAAACACACACATAATTGTTCATGTAATAAATCCACATTATGATTGAGATCCAGACTCTGGATTTAAAAACAGACCAGAATAATTTTTTTACTCATATCACCACTTATTTTGATGCAACAGTGTTTGATAATATGCAAAATGCCAAAATAGATGTCGTGATTTATTGCCTAATGTTACATTTATACAACTAATAAATGAAGCCATTCTTAGATCTTGATGCAAATTCATGCAGAGGAGGGAAGAAACACGTTAGTTATTTGAGTAATTGTTTGGGGAAAAAAAGGTTTACTACTCAATACTATTCAATTTTAGTTGATAAAATTAATAAAAACAACGTTAGTTTTATTTGAGCAAAATATTGGACTACTCCATCCATCGTGCGTTATTTCACTAAATAAAAAACAACGTTGGTTTGAAAAAGTATCTCCTCTGGAATTGTTTTTGTCCAAATACTTTGAATTATTTAATTATGGCCTTTTAAATACCAGAATTTGCATATAACCATACATTTTGGTCTATCTTTACATCATTTTAAATTTTGGATGTTATGAGGGGGTACTTTACGACTTAAGTACACCTAGTTGTTTTTTTAAAGCTATATTTTACTTTTACTTGACAAAAAATATAATAAAGTAGTTTTACTCTTATTTGAGTTGGATTTCTAGCTTTAAAACTAGAGATAAACTCTGCCAACCGGATCCAGTAACGGACCCTCCCCCCTGAGGCATCTTTAAATCAGTAAGCTAGCAAGCTAGCAACTGCCGGTTCGCTTATAACTATAAAATAATACAAAGTTAAAGACAAAACGTGTACTTTTAAATTTAAATAAAAATGCTTGTCTAATTTCTTCTTGAATAACACTGTCACACATCACTCCTGACCCTTTAAATGCCCGTGTCGGTAGCTGGCCAGCCGTTAGCCGCAAAGCTAACATCAGCTGACAGATACCGACACATCATCAAGTTACCCCGGATGGCAGCTTCCAGTAGGATGGTTTTTACATAGCAAACCTTCTCCACTCACCTGTGTGGGCATACGAAACGGGCACCTTCCATATGCTGAAGTGAGCCGAAACGGACGCGAAGTATTTTCCGAAAGCTAAAGGCAGGATGTACCATCGGTAGTACCTGCTAGGCAGTTCTGTTTTGGGGACTCCCCATGCCCGCAGCAGCGGCGGGAGGAAGACAACAACGGAGATGATGTGAAAGAGAGAAACCGTTACGGGATACGGAAATCCGTTCAGGATTATTTTGTTGATGATGTTTCCTCCAGAACTGACTGTGTACCAGAACGCACACAGCACAGCTATCCGGATCCCTTCCTTGACCGGGGTCCGCTCCACCGCAGCCATCTTTCTGCGCGGAGTGACGAGTCACCACCGCTGTGAATGGTTGGAACGAAGGGGCGGGGCCATTGATGAACCGAGAGCTTTGCTTCCGGTCACGGATTTCAAAATAAAACAACACGAAAACAAACACGCGCGTGTAAATAAATTGGTGCTTCTCAGAGTAAGATTACTAGATACAGAATCACGGATTAATTATACGCCGAGTGAAATATTACAAATGTCAATTTCAGTTAATTCTGGATGATCATAGTTCCAGAGGCGTAGCCAGAAAATTTTTATAAGGGTGGCCAGAAGTAGATAGGCACCAAGACCTCAGGGTCAATCTACACTGTTCCAACAGGACAATTAATGAGCAAAACATCCATATTTTCTAAATAAAGACAAACTATACTTTCCAACAGCCTTTTCTTACTATTAGACGAATATATTCAAACATCCGTGATTTCTAGATAAAAGGTATAATGGGTAGAATTCTTTTCAGGTTGAGTGTTGGGCAAACATCTTTTCAATCGTCATTACTTACCTACTTTTATCAGTAATCATTCTGCATAAAATTGATATTTACAAGTACTAATATCGACATAAATGTATTATTTAATAATTTTATTGAAATTGTTATTTATCTATGATTTCACAGAAGACTCATAGATGACTTGCAGACACATCATTTTCTATTTACCCCATAAAACACAAAATCTATTTCTGCTTGAATTCTGTATTTATCATCTTTATTGTTAGTATATCAATGTGCATAACTAACCATAGTGGTTTTGTTGTCAAGTAATTGTTAATATATGAAAAATGAAAATGTTTTGAATATTCCACTTGAGAGTATTACTGTTGCCACCATCTGTATTAGAGGGAAATAAATGAAAGGGGTGGCCGATGATTGGCTAAGGGTGGCCGTGGCCACCCCTGCCCCCCTATGTAGCTCCGCCCTTGCAGAGTTCACGCCTTAGCATAATGAACAAACTGGCTGCTCTTTACTCCAAAGGGAATGGCAAAGAACAATGGTGAATATGTTGCGGGTGATGTTTGGTTTATTGAATTGTTGCAAATTATTTATTGAATTTGTGCAAATTTCTTTAGCTGAAGCATGGCTCCCAATATCTCGGCAGTGCGGGGACTTCAAACCTGATATCTGTGAGGATGGTACTGCTGCTGAAGCTCCTCATAAAGGAAATTAGCACATAGAACAGTAGTAAGTAGCTCAGCATTCATTCTTTGCCTGCTTTGCGGGCAGTAAATGATGACTCCTGTTAATTTATTTGTCATTAATGAGTTTTGAAATGAAAGACTTCAGTATGTTTAAGAAATGAACACAATCCTGTTTCGAGATACAAATACAAACAAATGTAGAAAAACATTTATAGAAACTTGCAGTACAAAATGAAAGCTGAATGAAGCAAAGCTCCAACAGACCAAAAATATTTAATAAAAAAACATATTTCCACATGTGAACTTCAGATTTGATCAAATGAGTTAATGAACACTTCACTGTGTTTTATTCTAGACATACATAAGGCAATATATTCAGTCTGCTCTCATCTTCATCTGGATCTAAAGAAATGCACTCTGTCCAGTCGTACCAGTTACCCTTGGTGTCATAGCAGCCGTTAACTCCGGACCAACGCTGCCTCTGTAATCGGTTCAGGTCATCTTTGTTGATTTCTCTGCTTATTCCAGGCAAGTCTTTGGCAGGATAGTCTGATGCCAGAATGTGAGTTTCTGTGGCAATGCTTTTCCGATGATCCACTCTCTTACAAACCTCAGTCGTAAAGGAGTGGGCACCAGGTGCGTGGACACCAGAGGAGGACAGGATATTGCTCTTTTGGGTGAGCTGTGAGTGGAATATTTCACTCCTTGACACCTCTTTCCAGTCCGTCTGCTGAAATCGACTCAGAGCAACAGGTGGATTTGGCTTCAACTGTTCTGATGATTGTAGTTCAGAGCCTTCCTTTTTCCCCAAAGTCTCCTTAAAGCCGGTGCGTTTAATTTGTCCTGTTAATGGATCAAATGTCAGTCTTCTGTCTTTTTTCCTTGCTGGTCCACTGCGGTCTTCTGTAATTTGTCTATCTATGTTTACGGCATATTCTTTAGCCCTGTATTTTTGTCTTTTCTTTTTCCAGGCGTCATTTATAGCATCATCTTCATCTAAACCGACAAATCCACACCCGGATTTAGGGCCTGATGAATTGGAAGTCCTGCTTCCAGCCAACAAATTTACCCCCCTTGATTGTTCTGTCTGAACCCTGAACGACTGAGTAGAATCACCCAGTCCAGAGACATCCTCAGCCCCATTATTCACACCTGCACTATTCTGTGCTTTAGGATAATTTTTTTTAAATTCAGCTTCTTGCTTTAGATTCTGAGGATGCTGCAGCGGCAGTAAATTGGGACTCCTGGGCTGATGCTGCCCCCCAGGGGCAGGTTTATTGCATCTAACTTGCTGGTGCATAAGAGCGCTGGGAGGCTTACTGTATAAAGAGGCGCTGGGATGAGGTTTGACAGCATGAACAGGGACTTTATTGGGTTTGTTATTGTCTAAATGTTTAGTCAATTGGTGTTGTTGAATATTTGCAGCAGTTTTAAAACATCTGTTCAATCCGTTGGGTGACAGCTGTATTGTCGGTTGTGTGGATTCAACATGAGTGATTTTGGGCTTCTTTGTACGTAAGAGTTGATCCCCTTTCTTGTCACACCTTTGTTTCCTGTTGCTTATCTGATCAAGCGTTGGAGAGCAGTTGTTGAAGTCACCTCGGGCCTTTAACTCTGGCCCAGTTTTACACAAAGCTGGGGGGGATGCTGAGGGGGTGGAGCAGGGATGAGCGCTACCGTTGAAAGACCATGATGCATCAGTGAGTCCCTTGCGCAGCGAGCCCCCCTGCCCCGGCTCTATTAGTTTCTGCCAGTTCCGGAGGAGCTTCTTGGCTCTTTTTGCAAGGTCCTCGTTCTTGGTCTGTTTACGGATGTTGTTAATCAGCTTCCCGAGGCGGGTTTCCTTTAAACAAAACATCATGGATATTATCAATAACACATGTAATTAGACATAAAAAGTTATGTTTATTTTAAACGTACCTCCAGAACCTCTTTGCTCACAGGGTATCTCTCCAAACAGGAGATCACTTCCACGACCACCTTCATGTTGCATATCTGCTCAGAAGATAAAGGTTTACATAAAAAAAAAATGAAAAAAAAAACAGATACATAAAACAGTATCTATGTAGAGTTTCTTATGAAAGGTTTTCTTATTCTTCAATCAGAGTCGTAATTCTCAGACTCTATGCTTACAGCAATATTTATCAGTCAGCCTTGATTTTATAAAATGTATTACAAAATGTCATTTTGGTGTGGTATGAGTTTGACTCTTTGTAATTAAAAGAGAGAAAGAAATTAACTTTGCAATGATAATCCTTATTATTGAGATGCATCCATTGTTTTTTTCAATCTGCATTGCAATCTATTCTTATGATTTTATTTCATTTGTTAATAGATGCTTCTTTTTCTTTAATTTGTGTAACATTTGTTATCATTTTGTCATTTTAAGCATGTAAATGTAAATGGAGGAAAGGAAAGCCATATTTGCTGCCCCCAAAATAGGCAGCATATAATGAGGATCAGTTAGAATCATGTCAGAACAGGGCCGGCGATTGCTATAGGCGAGTTAGGCAATTGCCTAGGGCGACAAATGTGTTGGGGGCGCCCTCTATACTTAGCGTCGCCCTTAGGCTTACTTCCCATTAATCATAGAATTAGAAAACAAAGCGAATTAAACCGGTTATGAAGCGTCCGTCAGTTTGACTTAAGCTTACGTATATATAAATATCAAAATATGAACAAATAAATATACCACCGTTTTTTTATTTATTTTTTCACATTTAAGAGAAAATTGGAAAAGATTCTGATCACCTTTCAAGCGCCCTCCAACCCGGAAGTCGTGACGTCAATCACTGCAGCATGTCCACCAATATTTTGGAATGAAATTGTAAGCAAACAGATATTAAAAGTAAAACAAGTGAATTCTGACACTTAACTTTGCTCGCGACTCGAGGATGGCTGAACGGAAAAGACTCCCCTCTCCTCCTCCAGCTGCTGCCGCAGTCGGCCCGTCTTAATCATCCACTCAGAGTACCACTGGTAAGCGCACACAGACTTTGTAGCTTGTCCGGTCAGTTAAAAATATTAATTGTGAAATCCGTCTTGTAATCGGAAGCATACAAGCTAGTTAGCTTGAAAAGTAAATAAAGTTTCAGACGTGCTGCGTGATGATGTGTTCAGATTGGCTCAGTAAAATGACAATTAGGTTATCATGATGCGTTCAAGTGTAACGTAAAGAAAACGGGAAATTTTGTTTTTGGCGAAAAACATGAGTAATACAGTTGTATATTGCTCTATATATAATTAAACTACTGATGCCAACATTTATTAAAAATTACATTTAATTTAAAATACAATTATTTATTTGTTAAATATTTTCCTAATCGCTAAAAACATGATGAAAAGTGACAGTAGACAATACATTAACCAACAATTGTGAAAATATATTCTAGTTAGTTTTATGTCATTTCCAAGTGGCCTATTACATTAGCCATGTTTATTGAAGGCTAGAAACGTTTTTGTTATGCTCACTTGTTAAGCAATAGAAGCAATACCAGTTCTGTTAATAAAATTTTGTTGCATCGTCTTTCCACCAAATAACAGAAAAGTATCGATAGTGGTATCGATAAAGACTCGGATCGATAAGGAGTATCGATAAAGGTATCGATATCAATAAATATTAACGATCCCCATCCCTAATGTTGACATTTTTTTCTCAGAATTATGTGCTGTATTATTAGCTTGAGAATGGGTAGAAGATACTAATATAAATAAAATATTTTGTAGTGATTATCTGCATTGAGTATTCAAAAGGAATGTACAAATAATCATCAAAATATATGAAGTTATGGCTGTTCATCATAGAATATGTGAACAAAAAAAAAAACAACAACTTCAAACTTTTAATTTTGTAATGGTATTCATAAAAGCACTTTTGTTTGTAGAGGGTTAATTCTTTCTTTAATCACTAATCAATGTCAGAAATCAGGGTAAATATACCTGATATATTTTATTTAGAGGAAAATTTTGTTTATCTCATTTCTATTTATGTTCAAATGATTTAATTGAACTGGAAAAGAAAATTTAATTTAATGTTTATCAATTACTTTTTTATGTAGTCCTTGGTTGAAGAATTTCTTAAATTTATTATTTTTTATTGTTATTTGGTAATTTCTGAAATTGATTTATTTAATATTTGTTTAATGTGTGTTAAATTTGTTAATTGTCTGAAATAAATTCATTCAATGATTCAATCCAGTTTTTTAGTTATACTTTACCTAAGTGTCCTTACAGATGGTTAAAAGTGTTTTTGCACAGTCCTAACTTTGAGTGTGTAATAAATTATTTAAAATAAGAGGTACTGAAACCTATTCTGGTATTTGTCTATGCATCACTCCATGCTAAGTTACAGTTTTTTCTGAATGCTTAAACACAACCTTGATTCTTATAGCACAATTTCTAAAACTATTAATACTTATAGCAAATCCACTCACTGAACTCAATGAAGCACTAAACAGATGCTGAAAACAGTATTCGTATTTAGCACGGCAAAAGTGAGCGAGGGGGGGGGGGGGGGATGGGGGGCGCAAAACTCAATCTCGCCTAGGGCAACCAAAGGGCTAGAACCGGCCCTGTGTCAGAATAATTAGCATCGGCCTTAAAAAGCCTCTATCAGTGAATATCTAGTTCATTACCCGGTCACTGGCACAGCAGCAACCACAACCACAAGAGGATCTAATTTAAAACCTAACTCTTCCCTCTGCCTGTGAGAAAGGATTTGCATTTTCTTTTTGGTCTTGGTCATATTGAGCCTGAAACCAGTATCGGTACATACTTTCAAAAAATGCAGGTGTAGCTTTGAGAGTCTATGCAAATGATTACTTTTGTTAAGTTGCTCATTTTTTCCCAGAATAAATCATTGACCTATTAGCTATTTTCAATAAATTAGAGTATCATCAAAATCTATTTATTGAAATCAGGCAGAAAACATTAAACTTGTATAATTTAGTCATCTAAAACATCCTAATGTATCCCAAATTCAGCTCCATGTGAGAGCATTGAAAATGTATAAATGAAAATCTTGTTAAAATATACTTTATCATAGAGAAAACTGCTGAGTTGATGTTTGTTGAAAATCAGCTCAGACTGATGCCCTCCACAAGGCGGGTTGGAGAGCAAACATATTATCAGAGAAGGTCGATGTTCAGATGGCAGCCTCTGAGCATAGTAGAAGGACAGTTGAGTGGAAGAAAAAAAAAACGTTTAGAAAAAGTGCCAATGGATCAAAAATAAAGGGAGTGGACTGCTACTTAGTGGTTCAAGGCTTTAAGTTCAAATCGAAGTAAATGTTGCATTAATTTTGAAACTATGGTCCACACGCTGCGCGTAAATTCCACAGTGATTGATGACTAAGGTATCTGTGCTCCAATTCATGATCAAATTTGCCAAACCAAAAGCCAATAAGAACCTTTGGAGGATTGTCAGGGGGGAAATAAATCAGTGTGTTCATCAGAGAACGTACTAATATCTCCACCTTTACTCTGTTAGTGCAAAAACATTAGTCACTGATCATCATAATCTTACATTTTATAACACAGGGATCTTTTCAGAAAAGGAGCCATACTAGAAGATAGGCAGTATATTCTATGAAATGTTCATTAGGAATTAAAATACAGCAAAAACCACTGAAGTATTTCCCTCTTGTCAACCTAAAATGATTTGAACATAATCAAGATTTTCCCAAGACGATTTTTCTTTCTTTCAAAATTTCTTTCTTTCAACATACATATATATCTATATATATAGATATATAGATATATATACTAAATAGCATATATAAGAGAACTAAATAGTTAAAAACGGGTTTGACCCAGGGTCCAACATGCCCTGATGCATGATTGATGTTCTTAATTGAATCAAGTTCTGCAAAGAACCCTCTCAGACACTATTGTTCATCCCTTTCCGTTCAGTTTCCTCTGCTCCAAACCTTGAATAACTCACATTGCTCTGGCCGTCGATCGCCTGCAGCAGTCGGTCTCTCATCACCCGCGGTGAGGCTGACATCGCCCGGTGGAGCCCTGGACCAGATCGGACTGAGACACCTGAGTCTCCGCAGACAAAAGAAGAATTTGGGAAACGTCGGTGACACTCATGGACCAGATGAGCTTCTTGGAAAGCGTGCAGAATAATGTCTTTATAGGCGACTATCTTTGCCTTTATTCTCCCCGGTCAGCGCTCTGATTGGCTGGAAGGCAGACACCTTAAATCCGCCGGCTTCCCTCCGTGCTGCCTCCGCCTACTCATCCCTCTCTCCTCCTCCGTCCCCTGATCTGGCATCATGTACCACCGAACAGCATGATGGGAACTATGTACGTCACCACCATATCTATGGTCACCACCGCTAGATGGTTTGCGTAAAATACACGTATTAATTCGTTTGACGAGCTGGTAGCCGCTGTATTGCGTAAGCCTCGCCGCCATATTGTGAGTGGCACGCACAACTTGAAAAACAACTCCTCCAGTTTTCGAAATAAAAATAAGAAAAATAATAATTAGCATTTAACAGATTCTGTCTGATAATTTCTCCTTTTTTCGTGATATTATTTTTATTTAAGTACTACTAATGGCTTTATATATATAGAGAGAGAAGTAAACGTTTCTTTATGATTTATTGATTGATTGATTGATTGATTGATTGATTGAGAAATGTACTCATTACATCAGCTCAAATAGTCAAAAAGAGAAGAATTAGTGCCAAAGGAAGTTGCATGAATATATACAGTATATAAAGTGCGTCTACATATTTATTATTATTTTTAATAATAGCAGGATTATTATACAGGGTTATTGCACAGGGTGTTTATATGGGTATATATATATATATATATATATATATATATATATATATATATATATATATATATATATATATATATATATATATATATATATATATATATATATATATATATATATATATATATATATAAATATATTTATATATATATATATATATATATATATATAAATATATTTATTTTTATATCTGTAATTGTTAAAAATTATGGAGAAAGAAGCAGAAGGGAAGATATAATTTATACTAGATTAAGAACTGGACATACCTACTAGAATGAGTTTTTGTTTGTATTAGTGAAGAGAAATAATGATATATGTGAGGGCTGTGAAAGAAAAGAAAATGTGGATCATGTTTTGATGGATTGCATTAAATATACAACTGAAAGAGAGAATATGAGGAAATTAATTATGGAAATAGGGAGATAATGGAGTATTAAAGGAATTTTAGGGACAGATGGAGATAGGGAGGAAAATTTGGTTATTAATAAAGCATTTTTTTCATTTTTACATAACACAAAAATAAAAAATAGAATATAGTGGGTAGAACTATAGAGCTGCACACTCATGTACAGTAGGTGGCGGTATGCAGCTATGAGTTGTTTGCAATCCGCCAATCTAACAAAGAAAAATATAGAACACGTACTGACAACCTGTAAAATTTATGAACATGAAAGGGAGAAATTGAGAAGGATGGTTGAAAGGACAGGCCAAGAATAGAGTCTTAAGGGAATATTGGGAAATTAAGGAAATATAAAGAATTTTCACAGATTAAGGAAAGTATTATTTATTTATCTACATAATACAAAATTAAAAAATCTAATTTGATGTAAAGTAATGTTGCTACACACTCATATACAGTAGGTGGCGGTGTGCACCTGAAAGTTGCTTGCGATCCGCCATAATAGAAAAGAAGAAGAAAAGAATATAAAGAAAGAAGAAGAAGAAGAAGATTGGCGGATCGGAGATCGTTTGCTCTGGTCTGTTTGAAGTATTTCCCGATTCAAAGTCCTTCTGAATGTTGCTTCACTCTGGGTGCAGACAGCGACATTAATGTGCAGTTGGAGCTAAAATGTTCTGAAGGAGGTTAGACAGTTAGAGGCCATTGATCTGAGTTTAATTAATTAATTTATTGGTCGTGTGGATGATGTCTGTGGAGTCTCTTGTCCAACTGCTGGAGTCATACAGAGGAAGAGATAAACTTGTGAGTCTTTACTGATCATAATGTTTTACCATCTTACATTTCTGTTAAAGGGAATTGGCTTTTTAGTAACTATTCTTTAGAATTAAGTATTTATTGTATCTCATCCCAAGGAACTAACTATAAACTACAATAGGTTGAGTTGACCATATTGTAGGAGCCAATTATTGTTTGTTAATAATTAACAAAGTTTTTTTGTTTTTGTGGATAATTTAGCCATTTTTTTTTTTACTTTATTGTTTGACATCTGTTATGAGATTATGTTTTTTGGTTATTTGGTCATGTTCCTTTGTTTCTGGTTAGTTATGATTAATTTTGGTGAATTATATTTATAAACAGAGAAGCATGAATGGATGAAATGTTTAAGGACAGATGCACAGACTGACCAATGAGCTGGCAGGATGCTTCCCAGCAGGAGAGGATGCAAATTTACATCAGGCAGCTGAATTAATATAAGGAAATGGTTGTATCTTAATAAAAAATAAAAAATAGAAGATCTAAGTTTTCCTCTCTGATAAACTGAAACTGAGTGTTTAATCCAATCCTCTGGGTTCTTACTTTCAGATAAAGTCTCTTGTTTCATTGTTTACTTCCACTTAGGTTTTAGTCCAGAGCCAGAAGCAGAAATTGGAAAAAGTTATGATGGATATTTTTCCATGTTTTCAGATATGTTATTTTGTAACAAGATTTCTGCTTGATGGCTGCAAAAGTCACAAAAGAACTGAAATTGAAACCTTGATCTTTCAAAGGTGCTGGATAAATGTGTTAGAAAAGACAGAGGAATTTAACAGCATTTAAACTGATAAAGATGTGGAGACTCAAGAGCAATAGAAGAAGATCAAAGTCATCTGTTTTATAATAATTTCAATAATTAAACTGGATGAGATGTGGGTGTGCTGATAAATGAATGGGACATGGAGGAGGATGAGTATGAGGTCTGTATTCACTTTGAGCAGATGGTGTTAATAGAGGCAGCAGCCACATATCTGTTAAGAACACGTACAAATATCAACACCAATAGATAGTCTTTTTCTGTTTGCTTGCCTGAGGAGAAATAAACTGAGAAAACTGAAGGAGTACATCTGGAACATTTTTTCTTTTGCCTGCATAAATTACTTAGTCCATGGTGCATCTGTGGCCTTTGTGGATTTATTTTTGTGTGTGTCATCAAAGCTGGGCCACAACACATATATTATCATATTTCAGGTTTGGAACGTAGATAAAACTGATTAAATTAAGAAACTTTATCCCTTGAGCCTTTTACACCTTTTTTTCTATCCCCTTAAATAAAATGGGCTGAAGAACATAATCTGGATTAGAGTCAAACTCAATACCTTTGGTGTAGAATATTACTAAACATAAATAATAAAGGGATAAATAAATTGATATCATAGTAATTAGGCTACAAATACAAATTACAATGACATGCATCATTTTCGTAGGCAAACTGAGATCATCAAAAATGTTTGAATTACAATAAAGCAAGGTTTATTTTTATTGAAGGGTTTTGTTTTGCTATTTGAACCAGCCTGATAACGTTTCTAGACAGCAAAGATCTCACTTCCCTCACTGGTTATCAGACAACCAGTTAAACAGAACCCGTCTGAGCAGATGAAGTAGGCCAGAACAGCATCTGCTGCACTGAGGGCCTTACCTGCTACAGTTATGATCAGGTTTTCAGGAACACCTGGTTAAAAACAAGCAGTATTTCAAAATGAGAGTTTTACACCAATAGCCAAACACGGTGGTGGTAGTGACATGGTCTGGGGCTGCTTTGTTGCTTCAGGACTCAGACAACCTGTTGTTGTTATACTGTTTTCTACCAGAAAAACCCTTAAGCAAAAAGACTATGCTATAAAGACTAGGCTATGATCCATAGCCACATTTAACGATCCAAAGCATAGCAGTCAGTTCATCCCTTAATGGGTGAAAAAAGCGAAACTAAATGAAGTTTAAACGGCAGAAATTTGGACATAAAGCCCATAGCGTTGCTGTGACTTGACCTGAAACTGGTTGTTCATGCTGGTTAGCTCCCTCATGTGTGAAACAGTTACCATTTTCAGTCAGTTTTTTTCCTTTTCTCGGTTTTGACTAACATTCTTCAGGGAATATCTGCAAATCTCTAATCTAGTTAAGGATCTTTAGATGAATAGGCATCTACAGATGCAATTGTTGCAAAAATTTATTAAATTTTCCTTATTGTATAGATCTGGTCGCATTTTTTGTGCAGTGACTCTCATCCATTTTTTCTACAGATCAGGACTGTCTGCTATGGCTCCCAGCTGGTGGGAGGTGTTCTCACCCGGAAAGCAGTAGCAGATGCGTCGTCTCAGCAACTGGGGAAACGTTTACTGCTGTTTTCTGCTCAGCTCAGCCACTGCAGGACAGTTTTGAGGCTGTTTGATGATCTCTCTATGCTGGCGTACTCCCACAGCTACGGACTAGGGGCTTCGGTGATCACTAAAAAACAACTATATTTATAACATTTCCTTAAATACTGAACAGATTTTAATTTATTTTGTTGTTTCAGGAGGAGGATGCGGCCATTCGCTGGATATCGGTGCTGACCAATGTGGCTGACCAGCTTTACTATCCTTGTGAGCATATCGCCTGGGCTGCGGACGCTGGGCTCATCAAAGTGAAGTCTGATAAGTGGTGGTTGTTTAGTACGGTGCTGTGGGGAACCTCGCTGCTGCTGGGGATCCTCAGGTGAGAACATCTGGACTCAGATTAGGCCACATCTCTGATTGATGTTTTATCTGCACTGACTCTCTCTTCTTTTGTCCACACTGACTTATTTCTAAAAATTCCACCAAGATTAATGATTTAATTAATTTCATTTTCTTCCACTGAAGATATTATCTTTTAAATGTAAACATCCCAATACCATGTTTGTTATTTTAAAGCTTTTTTTTTAGACTATGTACTTTGTTTTTTATTAACTTATTTTTCATTTCTTCCTATGTTACTTCTATAGATTAAAACCAATTTAAGAAAATAGCAATTCTCATAGTTGTAGCAGATTTCCAAATCTGCTGTCAATTACCTGTAATGCCTCATCATGTACAAAATGCGGAAGGTCTCGTGGCTGCAGTTCACCAAACTCCTGCTGGAATCGAGCCAACAGTTTACCGATATATTTACTCTACATTAGAAGGAAAATAAGTAATTAATTACTTTAAAAGTACTTTGGAATAAACTCCTTATATAACAGCTAGCAGCTTTAAGGTTACTTTAAGATAACTTAACATGCTTATATTTGCTGGACTTACATGGTACTTTCATGAATCTTACTATTTCATAAGATCAGCTTTAAGTAAGATGGTGACCAATAAGTTCCAGGTTAGCTCTGTAAAACTTCGCCCGTTATTCCTGAGAAAGTCTCAGGAAGCAGGAAGTAATTTTTAGGTAGGTACTCGTATATAATATGGAAGTATATGTTATATGAAGTAACAAATAAGATCCAGATATTTTCTAGAAAAAAAGCATATATTGTACATTTTGATTATGTTCTTTAAAATGACTATTTAGTTAGACTTAGACTCAGACAGATTTATTTTGTCATTTTGTATACATACGTGTATACAAAAAGAAATTTAGTTATAAAAAAAAAACAGCTCTAGACAATTTCCTTTTTTTGAAGCGCAGCCTTGAAAACAGCAAAAAATACATAAAAAAATAAATAAAAATAAAATACTCAGATTAAGACAAAAAAAACCCCAAAAACTAATGTCTGTTCTCATAAGTAAGAAGTGATTTTGGATAAAGTCCAAAGGAGGTCCCAGAAAATTCAACAGAGAACAAACCGGTTCTTTCTGTTCAGGTTCTAGAATGTTTTTGTTTCAGACATGAATCTGAAATCTTTGAATGGTATCCTTAAAGTTAACAAAATTAATCTATCTAAATATTAATCTGTAGAGGAAATTTTAGAAAGCCACCTAAAAGTTCTGTCAGCTCATTTAAAGGTATAGTAGAGGATTTTCTTTTTCTGGGTGGATCATTAAAATAAGTGTTCCTCCTTAATTGTCAAACATTCTGGTGATATGTTTACGTAAGGCCGTCCCCATGTTCACTTACCGCTGGTGAGTCTGACATAGTGGAAAATTTGAAATCTTCTTTTGGAAAATGAGCTTGTATAAGCGATGCAAACAGCAACTTTTAAACAGAGCGTGCAAAAGGAGAAATGAGCTTGTGCACTCTCTTGCAACCGTTTAATAGGCGATCCCTCTCAGGAGCAGGTACAGGGTTGAGCATGTGTTTTTTATTTAAGACAATATGGTGGGTCTTTTCAGAAATTTGTGGAAATCATGCGCTATACCTTTAAGAATACATTTAATTTACTGAGTGACCAGTGTCTAGAATAACCCGTAAGTAATTTCTGTTCTATTTTAGTAAAGTACCGGTAACTATATTTTTAGAGGAAAATAGTCCAAGATCACTGTGGAAGTTTGAAAAAACTCAAGCAGAACACATCTTCCAGATAAATAAACAGTAACCTCCAGCAAATGAAGTTTGCTTTGGAAAAGTGAAAGCTGTTTATTATGGATTTTGGAAAACCTGCAAAAAATTATTTTCACAGGAATTATTATCCCGGAAAATTTGACGGCAAATAAATAAATTTTGAGCTGGAACAAAAAAAAAAAAACATATTTAAAAGATTCAAGCATGCTGCTAAATAGACTTTTGGTTGATATTTGAATTTCTCAGATCCCTTCGCGTTCTGCTGCTGCTGAGACGGAAGCTGAAGAAACACGATGGGGGCGGAGGAGGCAGCAGGTGTTTACTTTGCATATTAGATACTTGGAGTGAACGTACTTTATTTGCTGTAATGAATTGTGTCAGCAGCTCACAAGACAACTAGTTACACATCAATTACCAACATAGTTCAAAATTAGAAAAGTAAGCTGAATTTTCATGGTAAAAAGTTAGATTTTTCTGCTTATATATACAATCTGAGTGACTGTTATCTGGTGTTGTTGTATTGGTCTGTTAACCTTTCTTAGTTTGGTTATTTTAAAATATAATTCAGTAAATTTCCAGCCCCTTCAGCCATTAATCCCATTAAATCAGTGTTTTCTTTCCTGCAGACGGTCTCACCTCCACAGGCAGATACGAAGGGAGCTGCTCTCCATCCTCAGCAGCATGGCCGATCTCTGTAATGCCGTTCACTGGTTGCCACCAGGCTTTCTTTGGGCAGAACGGTTCCCCAGCTGGCTGGTGGGCTTACTGGGCACCACCTCCTCTCTGATAGGTTTGATTCAGATGAATAGCAGCAGCAATGAGCTGTCAGACAGCACAGTGTCGTCTTCACAATGAGGAGGAGGCGGCTTACGAATCCTTGCAGGTTTTTGATCAGATCAGAGTATCTATTTAGATTTTTAATTTCTGTCTCAATGGACTACTAAAGCTGCAGACTTCTGGATCGGTCTCTGTAGGTGAATAAATCCCTCTGCTATCTTTCAGAAATATTTTTAACATTCTGAGATTAACCTTTGCTTAAATGCAATTTGAAATGTTGGTTATGTGAAAATAACATTTAGAAAATCTTCTTTTTAAAGCAGTTTTATCAATTTAGAAACATTTTTAAATCATTAACTGATAATGGTTCAATCATTGTTTCATCATCTTTTCGTGCCATTTCAGCATTTTGCCGACGGGAGACACTCTGTCTATATCTTCTTATCTTAGAATATGATGAATAGAATTGTTTTATTGTTTGCAATGCAAACTTAAATCCACCTACATGACAAGTTAATTTCAGTGTTAAGGTTAAAGCTTATCGTAGAAGACTATTAAATATACAGCTACATGTTGGACTTTAGGAGAGGTGAGTGAAAAATATTTCACTCCTTGAATTGCAGAATTAACTGTAAATATGAAAAGATTGCACTTTAATGTTTTAGGCAATTAAGCACATTTTAATAAGACACAGAAAACCTGAGGAAATACAAAAAAAACTGTGATTCTATAATTTTTAACTGTAAAAATGTAATTATTTTAGGTTTTAAACCCCTTTGGAATCATCTGACAGACTTTTGCTTGTTTGGGGTCAGCAGTGAGTTTGACCGTGGGGCTCTCAGATGGATTTGATTTCTGTCCTTTTTCTTCTTATTAAATTCTTGATATTTATCTTAACCTTGTTTTAAATGTTGTGTTGGTTTCATTTGGAATAGAATAGAATAGAGTAGAATAGAATAGAATAGAAACTCTGGTAATAAGGCTGCAAAAAGATTATAGGAAAAATGGTCACACAAATGTTGACCTTAGAAAATGTATAAGAATAATTACAGCGAAGAGTTAAAAAATTAATTAAATACTGTACTGTAAATTGTTTTAACAATATAAATACTATGCACCTGGAGAATAAATATCCAATGTACAGCTATGGACATTTTTACAGAAATGGATATTTAAAAATAGCAGCAACATCATAGATGTGCAAAATGACAGCAGCATGTTATTTAACTGACTAAGACAGAAACTGTGCAAAATCAGCATGAATGTAACAAGTTGTTGAGGTTGTTTGGGAACCGTGGTAGTTATAGAGTCTAACAGCTGCTGGGAGGAAGGATCTGTGATAGCGCTCCCTCCCATTTGTGACTCAATGGATGTGTTTTCAACGGGTGGGAAGATCTACCTCTGTCATCAGAATGTTTCTTGCACAACTTTACATCCTAAATGGATGGAGACCAACAGAGATCTGATGAGGTGAATATTCCACTACTTAACAACACTTAGCAGGACTGAGAAACAAATTTATGATAACGCAGACCAAGATGCTGTGTATTATCTTCCAGATATTCATAGTTTCTGTTCCTAGGTTTCTTTAGATGCGTCAGTCTGCTTCATGTTGTCAGAAAGATTCTGTTATTCATTGGATCTAGAGGTTTAGTTGCACTGACGACTAGATAAAACTGGATTTCAGTTAACTTGGTTTATGAAAATATCTGATTTAGCAGAGGAAGCGGGGATTTTATACATAGATACATATTTTTGATAAAGTTTTCCCCTCTTAAATTAATTAAATAATAAATTAAAACATGATCTGAATTTTTTTTTTTTTGCTTTTGTTCCAGATTTTATTTCTCTGACGGCGATGACATTAGTTCGAAGAGATTAAACATTTCATTTTTGAGTAAAAGGAAAAAAAGAAACGTCTAAAGTAGCAAAAACATTTTAACAGCTGTATAGTAATGCTTCAGACATTATAAGCAGCAAACAGTTTGAAGCAATGGTTTGGATTTTATACACATGTATTGAACAAAATAAGATTGTGTGGATTTCAGACATTTTCTGTGACTTTTTAAGTTAATTTAAAATAAAATTTAAAGTTATTTTTTTACAGAAGAACCTGCAAAGGACCTTGAATAACTATTTCGTGTTGCTTTTGAATCTTTTAAAATGGTGCAACAGTTTATTTGATTTCTTTTTAACCCAAAGCTGAAATCACTGTTTTCTGAATGGATCAGTTTTTATTTTCTTTGTTCATATTTTGTGACTTGGGGAAAAGCTATATTGGACTTTAATTTATACAATTTTAACTGTGATTTTATAAAGTTAATTGTTACTGTATACCCAGTTATTTGTCATTAATTGAATATAGTTAAGCATTCAAAGACCCAAATGAATTGTGGTTTTCCAGTTTTCCTAAGATAATTGGAATAACTAATGAGAAAATATAAAAGCACAAACACCTAAGATAATAAACACAAGTTGGATGTTACATTGTTGAAAAGCTGAAAGTATGTGGTAAAGGCTAGTAACTAAATTATTCCAACTGAAGAAAAGCTGCAGTATTTTATAATTTTTACATTTTCCCAAAAGATATGGATTATTTAAAATAAACACATACACAGACAAACGAACAAAACATAAAACAAACAAACAAAATAAACTAGAAACAGCAATAAAAAAAAATATTCTGACTTTCCTAATCGAGATTTATACGCTCGATTAATCGGGGCTGGTAAGCAGGGAAGCTGACGTATGCGACTGTTGCTTTTAAAAGAACTCGGTAATAAAAAGGCTGTCTGCAGTAAAATAAACGCTAAAATACAGTTTATGTATTTTGTTAGATTTTTTTTAAAATAAATAAACAAATCTGTGTGGTTTTCTATGAAAATTTCCTTCCATACATGTAAAAAATGTGTAAGGAGACCGAATTTGTAAGGATGATTCCGGGATTTACGGGGGGTAATTGAACGCCACATGACGAGTGGCAGCCAATAAATAAAAGCAGTAACTCGACAGCAGCACTAGCTTGAAAAAGTCAAATAGGTTCACCCCATTAAAGTATAATGCGCACTTTCTCCGTTAAATCGCCCTTTTTATCGCTTGCGTTAATAGTATGACGAAAAAAATCTTAAAAGAAGTTTTAGAGAGGGTTCAAATTCCTAAACACGTCAACTCTTCTGTCGTGGCAGCCAAAGTTGTCTCTATCAGAAGAAAAGAGGAAATATTTTCAGCATTCGGTGAGAATCCGCCTTTATAACAGTTTAAAGTGCTTAAAGCGCTTTTAGCTCTTTAGTTCAACCTCTGACAAATACTGCAAAAACGAAAGAGTTAGCTTGGAGCTAGTTAAACTGCTAATTGGCTAACATTGGGCTGGTTGTAGATTTAAAATCACCATTTATTGCTTGTTTTTAATGAACTTATTTTAAGTTTTCTTTACAAATATAAAATATGTTTTATCACAGACCTACAGTGTTTATTTAGTTGTGATTTTACAGTGAAGCCATTGATTATTGGTTACTTTCATAGCCATTACCTATAGACCCAAACAGGTAACAGCTACAGATAGTAATGCTGTTCTATAACAAATGTTATACAGGTTCATTTAGATAGAATACTGATTTAGGTTATTGCAGTATTTCAATTAAAAATGTACACAAACATACATCTTCAGTTTTTCCCTTTACAACATTTAATGTAAATGTAATGACATATTTACCATAGTATGTGGGGTAAACTTACCTTGAAATAAACTAAATATTGCTTTCCAGGGACCCTTCCAGATAATTCTGGCACATTGTGATCGGGCCAGGATTCTGCTCTGTTATGCCATCCTCTCCGTGAAACAAGATGGACTCTGACTGCTTCCTGGCTGATCAGCCTGCATGTTCGTATGCAGGTGCCCCAATGTCTGATTCCGACACTGTTATTCCTGGAGCCTCAGGAGGGGAAGTTGGTGGGCCTCCAGGGGTGAAGGATCTTGATGTCTACAGTCTGATTGAGCCTCCTCCTCTGGACTGGAGGTCGGACTCTTCCAGTGAGGCAGCTTCTGCTCATGATCTGGAAGACCCCAGAGATCCCCCCTCTGCTGAACTTCTGGATTTGACCAGTCCTGAAGACTCAGGATCTCCCCCGTTGATTGGGGGAGACTCGTTGACCGCAGTCCAGTCGTACCAACAGGTGCTTCTAGGAAATGCAGCAGATTCATGTCAGGATTTAGAAGTTAAAGAAGAAGCTGGGGGTGTTCCCACTGGAGAGGAAATGACCCATGAGATTCTAAGAGATATTGAGAAGGAGGTTGGTGAAGAAGAGACTAAGGATTCCAATAGGAAATCAGGTGATGAGGATCACAGCCATATTCAGGCTTTGCTCAGCCAGCTTCAGATGATGGACAAAGAACCCCATGGCTGTCACTATTCCAGCCTGTCTGAGCAGGAAGTCTGCCGCCACTCCATGCTAACGAATAACACTGAAGCAACAGGACTGCTTTTCTCTGAAAGCCACCATAGAGATCTGCTTGGACTGCTGCAGTGCACAGCCATCACTTCTGCATCCCATCCTTCCCTCCAGCCCCACTTTGGTCAGAGGGACAGTGTACTCCCAGTTTCTTATGACCAGGCGGACTCTCCGAGATGCTGGAGGCAGAGCTCCAGTTGCCAGCGGCACAGAGAAGACTCAATCACATCTCTGCCTGACGATGAATACCCTGAGCCTGTATGGATGAAGGTTGGAGAGGAGCCCCCAGAGGAGGAGTCAGGAGCAGATGGTGAAGAGGTTAGTGTAAAAATGACTGTAAAACAAACAATCAATCAGTTATTGCCCATAGATTAACCCCTTTTCCCATGTGTTTTTGTGTGTTATGTAAAAAATACTTTAATTAGTAAATGATTCTCAACCTTGGGATAATTAAAAGAACTGTTTGCATGTTTAATATCTAATTTCATTGATCTGGTAAATTCTCTGCTTCAAAGACGATCTTTAATTTGATGCTCACAACCATCAGACTTGTGATGTTAAAGTGAATCTAATTTGATCTTTTACAGGCTGCTGATGACAGCCCCTCATATAAAGATGGTGAATTAACTTACTTTTGTTCTTACATTTTCAAGATCTTAATAGTGTTCTGAATAGTTTATCATATGAAGTTCGACCTTTTTTTTTTTTTTTTTAAGTGCCTGGTCCTTGTGACCCAGAGGACCTGTTGGACGGAGTCATCTTTGGTGCCAAGTACCTGGGCTCCACTCAGATCAAATCAGACAGGAACCCTTCCACAAACGCTCGCATGACCCAGGCTCAGGAGGCTGTTGATAGGATAAAGGTTAGTGGATAAAAAAAGCAACAAAACGATGAAAATCATTTTACTTGGTGTTGTTTTAGATCCCTCTTGTGTGGCCTATTACAAATGAATGGGTTTACAGTGATAATCGGACCAATTTTGATGGTTCCGGATTATATTGTGTTGTATTTGCTTGTAGGCTCCAGAGGGAGAGTCTCAGCCAATGACTGAAGTGGATCTGTTCATCTCCACTAAACGAATCAAAGTGCTCACAGCTGACACACAGGTATGGAGGTTTATGACTACAGGCGTCAACTTTTTCTTCTCTTAGTTTTCACCTTCTCTAGAAAGGTTAAGCTCAGTACTTTAAAAGACCTTAAAAACGCTAATTTATTTAATATATGTAATTGAAAAAATGATATTTGTATTATATACAGGTGCTGGTCATAAAATTAGAATATCATGAAAAAGTAGATTGATTTCAGTAATTCCATTTAAAAAGTGAAACTTGTATATTATATTCATACATTACATACAAACTCATATATTTCAGATGTTTATTTTGTTTAATTTTGATGATTACAAATGACAACAAATGAAAATCTCAAATTCATCATATCAGAAAATT